ATTTGGACATTTATTTAACAAATATATCTTATTACATTTTTATTGGTCCTTTTAGTGCTAACTGTAGCAAAGATATTACGTTTAAKGATGATAAATCRACCAAAACAGACTAAAAAAAAAAAAGTAACAATTAAATTTATAATATCTATTACAATAAAAGTAATTTCAGTAGAATGTTGATTGTTATACTAAATAGTGTACGAGTATAACTTGAAAATATGAAAAAAAAAATTTATKAATATATTTAATTAAACAATTAAAAATGTTCTATTTAAATAAATGAATTATAATTCAAGAATAAATCTGAATAATACATAATATTCTGAATAATTTACAAAATTAATTTGTACAATTATTATTTTGTAGTTTAAATTAACCAAACACTATATCTAGTCTTTCCCTTTGAATAATCAACAATCTACTGTGGAATTATTTTCATCCGACAATAATGTAACTTACATCTATGTTTTGTAAAGTGTTTACTTGAAGCAAATTGTCTTTTCTGAAACTTAAAATTGCAACTGCCAAAAGTGGTAATACTTCCAGGGAATCGTAAGCTATAACCATATCCCACAGGTTAAGTAACTGTTCTGGAAGTAAATGCCCACTGAATCCCTTCATGAGCCATTTGAATACCACTCTGATGCTGACAAATTATTGAAACACATATTATTGATTGGTTTCTGATGTAGAATCGTAGAATATATATATATATAGAGTAATAATTGACACTTTAACAGTAGGATAGTGTGGATTGTGTCAATAGGTTAGATACTTACGGGTGAATGTTGTGGCTCATAAAATGCGACCAAATCTTTGTCTCGTGTCTTTGCAAAAGCCGCTGGAACAAAATACATAGTCCAAGTATGCTTTGCGGGTGTGAGCTTATGACATGCAATCTAAACCAGTAACGCAAGTAGAACGCTCTGAACGTATAGTACAATGGTACAGGGTCATTGAACAAATAGCAAACAGGGGCAGCTAAAAATGGACAACAAACCATGTTTCACTTGTTTTAAATATCTATTTAAGGCCGTGTTAATGAGGTGGGGCAAAGGAGACATTTGGGTGTAACAGTTTGGTTAAATCAAGGGACGTCTCGAGCTTAATAAACCACTGTTGGTGACATCTCAACTTTAATTAGTGCCTCTGGGTATTAAAAAGGTTAACACGCCCCTGTACCTATCTATTTAACTGCGTTAAGTTGTAAAATGTTGCATTTTTACTCATACAATGTTATACACTGATAGACAGGAATGGTCTATTAATATTTATGATGCATAAAAAAATCGCAAACCAAAATTTAACATGCACGAGCCCTTACAGACTTACAACTGATCTAAAACATTTTAGCTCTGTCATCGCGCCAGTGGTGCAACTAGAGRGGGTGCTTTGGGTCATTAGCACCCTCTAAGTCAAAAATAGCACTTTACAAAATTGTTAAAAAAGTCAAGTCCCTTTAAGACACAAMAAAACCTGGAGCTTAAGCACCCCCTTGTTCAAATTTTAAATGTCTAGTTGCGCCAATGAATCGCCCACTCGATTTACCGATTTTTACAATAAATAACTGTCATTAATTCATTATAATATAATATTTGTCTAGTAATACATATACTATTTACAGTTTATTTTGTATTAAATAAAAAGTGTAGTAGTGGTAAGTATATTTTAAATTGGGTGTACAAATTAAATTAAAAATTATAACATTTAAAATAATTATACATACCAATAGGTACTAACGAAATACTATTTTTTGCTAGTCCTCTTAAAAATAATACAATTTTAACTGTATCAAAATTAGAGACTAACTTTAGAAGTATATATCGTTATTGTTTTTAATGTTTTTATACCTATATAATAATTAATATTATAAAGTTATATTATAAAGTTTGTCTGCACAAATAGGTAGGTTAGATAATAGTAGAATATAATATATATCGCAGTTTATTTGAAATAAAAATAAAAAATTGTCCTGCATATATTGACTATACCTACATACATTTAGCCATTTATATAGGTGTTCATTGATTCACCTATATGATCTTTTAATTGTTAATGTAAACTCTGTATAGTTTAACTAAAGACAACTAGTTTGTATAAATTGTATAGAATCATGACACTCAACTGAACAGCTTGGTTTGCTTTTATTGTTATTTGTTATGCTTTAACGTCTTGGATTATATGCATACTACAATAATATATTTTTCTCGAGAACAAACCTATCTAAATCTAATAATCACATTATTTTATGTATAATTTGTCTATGCTACTAAAATACTAGATGAATATTATGATGTATAAAAAATTATCGTAAAAATGAGTAAATCAAGGGACTTATTGTAAAAGGTCCAGTAGTTTTTGAGTCTATGGTTAACAAACAGACAGACGAACATATATGTATTCTTTTACGGGCATAACTTTGATGAGCTTTCTTGCACGTTTGCCAAGTTTTGAAGTACCTACCACGATATCCATGAACGTTTTCTACAGCACCGTGTAGCTATTATAGATATTACATATAGCTATTATAGATATTATATATAGCTATTATAGATACCTATTATGTATATCTATTATGTTTCTACACGTTTTTAGTTTCTAAATCTCCCTTAAAATC